GAAGGATGGCACTAAGGAGGAGAAGCTGTAAGCTGCAGCAGTAGCCTAACTAAAGTTTCATCAATGAAGATGGAAAAAAGAGAGAGACAGAGAGGAAGAGCAAAGTATGTATCTTGCAGGGTGGGGATACAGGAGGGAAGAACAGAGAAGTTGTTTTTATAGAGTTGACTGCAATGCTAAGAGTGAACTGCCTTCAGCAGGTCACTGGGCTAGAATATCTACTCTGAGACAGCCACACTCACAAACATTCAATAGAAACAGGACAGTTGCTGTCTGAAACAAGCACATTCCAAAGCATCTGACATATGGACTTGAAATATAAGGCTAAACGGGAATTCAGAGATAATCTCACCAATCCTTTCTAACACTGAGGAAGAAACCCAGGACAAGGTAATGGATCTACAGTCCCAAAGCAAGTTACCAGGAGAGAAGAGCACACGTGGGCTTTGCTAACTCACAGTTCAATGTGTTTTTCAACAAATCATGCTGCCTAAGCATATGAAAGAGAGATCAAGTCATTGTGAGCTGCAGATGAAAGGTGGGTGGCCACAACTTGGAAACAAATTAGATTAGTTAGAACAGCATCTTCCTATCTGGGAAAATCAACCTAGTGCAAATATAATTACAGTAATTAGCTGCCTCTAACACCCAGGGCACTGATAGAAAATGTGGCTCCCAGGTCCCTGGAGACAATTAACTCCCTGGCTGGGTTCTGTTTTCAGGATTAGGTGAAGCACTTCCTGACAAAGTCTGCAGCAGATGTCCCCAGGTGGCCAAGAGGAAAAATTTTAAATGAGTCCCCTCTGCCCTTTGACTCCCAACCCAAAGAAAAGCAAGCAAACAAGATACAACAAAAACAGTTTTCAATGGCACAATTTCAAATTGTTCTAAAAGTGAAAAGACAGTTGCAAGATAGAAAGTGGTATATCCCCAAAACACTAGTAATTTTCAGTTACTGGGTTTACAGGATCTGCAGCAATGCTTCTTAAGTTTAAAGTGCCTAAAGATCAGCTTAAAAATGAAGATTCCTAGGGAACCACCACCAAAGATTCAAAAGTAGGTTAAGGTAAACCCCAGAAATCTGAATTTTTAACAAGCAGCCCCACATCTCTATGTGATATTGGTACTGGAAGTCTAGGGATCACACTTTTGAAACATTTATCTTAGTCTTTGTTTACAGAATCCCGGCCCACTCAAAATGTACAACTATTCACCTCAAAAAGGCTGGTGATAAAATAGCACATTAACTAAAACAAAAATTTCACACACACCAAAGGGCATAAATACAATGAAAAAAATTACAAAAAGAAAAACTGCAGATTTTGCTGATCAAAATGATCAAAAACTTCTGAATTTCAAAATTATATAAAATGTAAAAGAAAGTCCACTGGAAGGGTGAAAATGTAATAAACAGGAAAAATGGTTGCTATCCATAATGTGTAAAGATTTAAATATATATATATACCCCAACAAAAACAAAAAATTCACAGGATACAAATACCAAATAAAACATATTCAACTCAAAAGTAAGTAAAAAAACTTAAAGCAATGTATTACAAATGAATTTAACAATAGTTTTGAAAATAATAATCAGTGCTAGTAATGACGAAGTAAAACAGGCACCTGCATAAACTGCTGGGTTTATTTCAGCATTACAGCTTTATACAAAAAATTGATTCATTCAACAATCATTTACAGAGTACCTGTTAGGCACCCAGTGCACTGGACAAAACACGCAAAGTTAGTGCATGGTGAGCCTTAGATCTAAATTACATTCTAATTTCCCTTCTAGAAATGTACACTAAAAAACAAAACAAAAAAATTCATACACACAAAGAAATAAAGACAAAGCCTTATACCTACATAGCTATTCACCACAGCATTATTTTTAACAGCCAAAAAAGCTGGAAATAACAAAAGGGTAATTAAATTAGGATGGAAAACTGTTATCAAACAACATTTAATGAATAGGGAAACACTCATGTTAAGTATTGAGTGAAAAAGTAGTAAATACAATTGTGCGTATAATGAATTTTCTTTGTTTAATGTTAGCAAAGAAAATATAAAACTATCTACAATGTTATTTATGGGTTGTGGATTATGGGTACCTTTTTTCTGTACCTTCCAGTAATTTCCAAATTCTCTGCAAAGTTATACATTTCATAAACTAACATTTTAAGAAAGACTTATCCCTGAATAAGATAAAGAAATGAAGCGCAAGTCTTTCTTTCCATACTGTGGATGTAGAATCACCTAAAAGCACTACATTCAAAAGCAAGTCCAAAGTATTACAAGTTGTTTCCACAACAGTGAACAGTCAAGATTAAACTAAAAAAGTGTTTAAACAAACAAACAAGCAAAAAAGGCACATTCAAAATGCTGGTGGAAATAGAAATAGACAAGAAATTGACAAAACACAGAAATTTAAAGACTGAAATATGGGGACCAACCGGAAGGTAGATTCCATGTAATGTAAGTTAACGAAGAAAGAGAACCGTAGAACCGTAGAACCGTGCTAAAGAAGGAGACAGCTGTCAGCCACAGAGGGGCTGCCTAACCTAGGAAATCCAAAACAGGATTGACACATGCCATTTTCTGGCCAGCACCACTCATCCTTTAGAAAAAGAACCTCCATGGTAGAGTTCAGCAAACCCCATTCTGATTGTGAAATAAAATACTTAGTTAGGACTGGGAGCCAGAGGGTCCTGGTGGCACAGAAAGGAGATGTGGGCCAAACAACTGAAATGCAACCTCTTCCCAGGATCAACCAGCACTCTCACTACCCAGGTATCTCCTATTAGGGAGCCTCCCGGAACCAATATCGCTCCTCACATCCCTCCAGAAGTGGAGCATGGGCCACTGTAAGAGGTCTTCTCTGAAGCACCCTGTCATTCACTGCCTTCCTGGCCCAACAGCAGTCTGTGCAAGGGTCTGCACTTGCTTGTCCACTGCTTTGTGTTTCCAACTGGATCCTGAGGACAGGCGCTCCGTCCTCCACTTCTGTGCCTATTCTATTACCCAGCCTAGAAGCAGCTGTGCAAACCAGGGGAACCCAAACACAAAGTAGTGAAACAATGAAGCCTCTGCATCAATGATGTCAGCTCTAGAGTGGAAATATAATGAATTTCATGTTCATGTTGAGGAGAAACAAATAGAATTCTAAAGAAGAGAAAGTTATGGAGGGACAGTACAAACAGCCCTCTTTTAAATTTATCAAAAGAATTATCTGTATTCTCTACAACATGCACAGTATATCCAGGCGGCCACATTCACATGGGGAAGCTGTACAGAAATTAAGGGCATAGAGTCTGGAGTCAAACTAACCTAACCTCCTGAAGCCTTAGTATCCTCATCTGTAAAATGGGGATAATGATGGCTAACTCGCAGTGTGACTGGATAAGGTATATAAAACACAGCACCTGGCACAAAAGACACACTGGGAAAATAAAACAATTCATTTGCCAGATCCCACAGCAGGTAAATCCATTTGTATCAGATGGGCTTTCTTTGTGGCCTAAAGCCAAGAGCACTCTTCATGATTCTCTCTCCCCTCCCACAGGAAGCCCAGTCCTGTCTCCTCTGCACACACAGGGCTGGAACACGCAGAGCACAGGACTGAGGTCTCAGGTGCTAGGTTAGGCCAAATTGTTTGCACTCTCTACACACTGCCTGAAAGAGGCCCGTTTTGTCGCCCCACCTCTGGTGTGGCTTCTTCCTGAGGCAGGGTTCCACCCAGCTACGGAAGATTTTTGTGGAGGCCTCAGGTGTGTAAAAGTCTACAGATCAAGGGCAGTAGAGGGAATGGAAAAGTGATGACCCTGCACTAGCTAGCCTATGACCTTGAGCAAATCACTTCTGTGTCAGTTTCCTCTTCAGTGGGAGGAGGGGCTCCATTCTGTGACCGCGAAGCCCCTTCCAGTGCTTCTTTTGTACCATCCTACATGGCACTGATTATAATTCCAACAATGAGGTCCAACGGGCACCTTCAGATGTGTTCATTTCCTTTCAAAGCCACTTGGCAGTCCTCTGGCCCTGCTCCCATGAGAAGGGAGGGTAGGAGTGGCTTTCCTGGCTTTCTATTTTTGTTGGGTGTGCAGCAGCTCCCCATCCAGAGCAACTCAATCCTTTACTTTTCTGCCCCCCAAGTGGTCAAGTGCGTGTGCTGGGGCAATCGCTGGCTTACAGTGTGTCAACTCAGAGATGGTTTCCAGACCATCCTATGCGTATGCTTGTGGTGAACAAATAAACATTTCGGAGAAGCAATATGAATTAAATCATTTCCTCAACAAGACCCACCCACATGCTTCTTCATAAATCATGCCTCCTAATTCCATGCTGAGGAACAGTCAGTAAACTGCATCTATTATAAAAACAACCCTTCCTCCTTTCATGCCCTGACACTTAAGAATCATATTTTCACACTCTATTGTACTAATGCCTTTGCAGAAGTCATAGCAATAGCTATTTCCCTGGAAAGATCCATGGCCAGGGCGCTTTCCAAGAGATTTTCGGTGAATGTTCTTTGTGTCCTGATGCACTGGGGGACACGGCCAGCCTGCCGGCATCTGGGGGACACAGAGCTACTGGGAGGAAAAGCACACCCACCGAACATACTCCTTCGCCCCGACAATAAAGTATTACAAAACATCTGATATACCACAAAGATATAGCCATGCACAAATACAATACCAGTGCCTGCATTTTGCAGAGAAAATACAGGCACATTCTGTGAAGCCACCAGACCCAACTCGGGCTCCGTGGATAACAGGATAGCTCTGCAGACCTTTAGGAAGACTGGCCAGAATCCGCTCGCTTTTTCGTTTTATTTTCTCCGTGCCCTTTTTTGCTGGGCCCAGGAAGAACAGAAAAGCATCTCAAGAAAGGAGGGCGAGGGAGCGTTGGAGAATAAAAGATGGGCGGGGAAAGCAGGATTTTGAAAATAACAGCGATCAAGGCAGGCAGGGTCGCGGCCGCGGCCGGAGGGTCTCGGCGGTGCTTACCTGGGGCGCACGAGGCCGGCCGGGCGAGCAGCAACAGCCAGATGCCGGGGAGCAGCAGCCCCGGGCGGCGGGCGCGGCGGGCGGAAGGCCCGCGGCCGCTCGGCCCCGGGACCAGCGCGACCCCGGCGCGGGGCTCCCCCTCCATGGCCGCGCTTCGGCGTCGGCGCCGCGCCCCCAGCAGTACCGGCCGGCGGCCCGGCCCGGCCTCGCGGCTCCGCGCTCTCAAGCCCGGGAGGGGCGGCAGCTGCGGCTGCGGCTGGGACGGGGCGCCGCGCACCGGCGCGGAGGGAGGCCGGCGAGGCGGGGGCGAGCCAGGGGCCGGAACCACAAGCAGGGGCCGCCAGCCGCACGCCGGCCTCGCCGCTCCGCCCCCTTCGGAGCCTCGCGGCCGCTGCCGGGCAACGCGCGGGCCCGGACGCGGGGAGGCGAGCACCACCTCCCGGCTGGCCGGGAGCTTGCCTGCGAGGCGGCCAGGCGGCGGGCGCGGGGCTGAAGCGCGCGGGACTTCGCGGCGCGGGGCCGGCGGCCGGCCCGTCCCCAGGACCCGCCTCCCGGGAGGGGGCGCCGGGGGACGCGGGAGGCCAGGGCCGGGCCCGCGGGCGGCACCACCCCGACCCAGTCGGGGTCGCCGGGAGGAGGGAGGCAGCGAGGAGCGGGGTCGGAGCGGGGCGAGCTGGCAGGCCGGGAGAGCGGCGGGCCTCGGTCTGCTCGAGTCCGTGCCGGGCAGCAGGTGTGAGCCGGGCGCCTGCGTTTATAGGGCAGCCTTCAGGGCTGCGAGGCGACAAAGCGGAGGGGCGGTCGGGCTCCCTTCCCAGCCGCCGGCGTGCAACGGAGGGGTGAGGATTGCGCGCACACTGCTCTACCCATCCTTTCTCGGGTCCCAGAGGTTCTGCCTCCAGCCTGGGTTACTGGGAAACGAACGCAAATCCTGGGAGGCCCGCAAACCCCGCACGTAGTAGGCCTTCAGGAGGAGCCTGCTGAACCGAAATAAAGCGGAGCTGGAGAGATCCCCGCATCCAGGCCTTTTTAGGGAAAGCAGCCCTCCTGGGAAAGGGAGAGAATGTCAGAGGATTAGCATTTAGAGGTTAGAGTTCCCGGGGAGGGGGGAGGGGGCTGAAACCGAAGAAGGGAGGTAACATTTGTACCCAGCAGGTACTATGTGCCAGGCATCCAGCTCTTAAGACACTGGTGATTTAAAGGCCTTGAAACGTGGAATTGGCACTTTTGGATTTTTGCGTCCTGTTAAGAGTGCTAGCACCACGCAGGGACAAAAGGTGTGATTTGGGGACCCCATCGTATTGCCCGGGAAACTATAGAGCATAGTGGAAAATGTGTATGAATCCTTCACATTGACAAAATCATGAACAGTCCCCTGTTCTTAGCAATGGATCATCCCTCCCCATAAAGAGGACTTTGCATACTTTGCCTCCAGCTCATGATCCCAGGTGAGTACCTACCTGGAAACACGGCCTACGGGGCACATCCGGTCCCTGGATATCATAGAGATCTGGGAACTCTTATTCATGCTTTTTGTCATTCTCTGAACTCATTCAGTAAAAAACTCATTTGACCACAAACCACTGCCTTGGGGTGATTCTTAAATTGTCTTGTCCACTATGTTATTTTATCTTTTATGAATTTATGTTTTGCCTTTCAAACCAAATTAAAGTTAAAAGCACTGTCATTCTTTCAATTTCCCTTAGCACCAATTAACCCTCATTATACGTTTTTCACTTGAACCAGAGCACCCACTTACCCAGTGAAGAGGTTCAACCTTTCAGATTTAGCCCCAGCGTCTAGTAACCCAGAACCCAGGGTATGGGAGAAAGGAAACTCCCTTCCATTCCCAGCCAATTCAAGGAAAATGAAATGTTTGCCCAGCCATTAAGAAGGGATTGACATCAGTCAGAAATAAAAATAGCAACTTTGAGATAACAAATGACAGCAAGGTCACCAATCCTCTAAGAAAAGAGATCCCTAGGGCCCCATAGTTTCCTAGCTCTGAAGGCATAAAACTAAATGTTACCTCTGCCAGGATTTAGAGCATCCTGCCTGAGAGTCAAGAAAACATCTCCTGGGACTCAAACCATCCAGCTGGTAGGTTACAACCTAGCTACGACTTGGAAGTCCAAGATAGAGCGGTAAAGGGAAGGGGGATGTGGACATACGTGTGCACACACACATGCCCCCATATGTATAAACACATACACCTTTACACACTTGTGTCTGAGAAGACAAGAATTTAGACAAGACCTGAGAGCATTCATACCAAACTATGCAACAAATCCAGTAATCACTTCCGAGCACCCCTGTTGGTGCTATGGGGGGATATAAAAGAAGCGATTTTATAGACTATCTCATACAATCCTTATGGTATAAAGAAACAAGCCAGAGAGGTTAGTTTCTTGACCTAGGATTCAGTCCCATCTGTAATTCTCATCTGTTTTTTAGTGAAAATATAACCTCTGGGGGAGGGAAGAATTAGGCTTGCAGTCTGGTTTCGAGAGGGGAAGAGGTGCAATCAGTACCACCCTTGGACCTAGGCATAATGGGCTCCAGTTTTCAGAGGCCCCACTCCAGGCCTCCTCCAACTGCACCTCCCCACACAGGACAAGGAGTCTGAGACACCAAGGGAACAGTCCACCAGGAGCCCACTTGCCCCCATGCTCAGGCACCCAGGACCCCAGAATTCCCTGCCCACTTGGCCAGAGGCTCACTTCCAGGACCTGTATGGCCTCTTCCTTCCAAAGGGTGGGCCAACAGCTGGTGTGTCTGGTCCCAGGGCATGTCCCGGGGGTAGCTGTTTGTCTGCAGGGGAGTGACGGAACTCAGACATGCAGGTAGGATGAGCATGTGAAGCTGATAGGAAGGAAGCAAAGACCCAGGGGTGGGAAGAGAAGGGAAACAAGCTCCATATTCATATGGCAATGTGACTGCCATATTCCTGCCTAGAACTCCCAAGAATGAGAATTCTTTCTTTGAACCTGGCCTGACAGGTTGTTATGGAAATACATTCATCAAGAGAAGAGAATAGACATCTTATTTAATAGGTTGCTTGCTTTGCATGTAACTTTCTGGTATTTCTGTAACTGGTGTGTGAGCCTTCACTTGCATTCTTGACCTGAACCCCTCAATTCTTAGGTCTGAGCCTGGATAAGAATGGAAAGAAAACACTGACTAACTGAGCAGTTAAAGGGTGGCTGGGAGACAATCGGGGTAGCACTGAGACCCCTGGACTGGGAATCAGAACAGATGAGCTCTGAGCTCTGCTCTGTCTTCTCCTTGGACAGAAGGCGTATCCCTACTCTCAAACCTCAATCCTTCTTAGCTGATGACAGCTAGCCTACGCCTATCTTGCCTAGCTGTAGGCTGTTAGAAGGATTATACGAAATAAAATAAATGTCTATAAAGTTCCCTCATTAAATTCACTGAATATTTTCTGAGCACTTTTGATATGCTGGGCACTGCAGTGGGCACCGGAGATACAACAGCAAACAAAACAAAGGGCTTTACACATGGAGCTCATTCTAGTGAGAGGAGCCAGGCAACAAGTGGATATGCAGCTGGTGGTAGCTATGTGGAGAATGATAAAGGGAGAAGGGAGTGTGGGGAGGGTCAGCATTACCACATTAACAGCAGTACCACCAACACTGTTACGGAAAACCTGTACTGAACCGCTGATAGAAGAACCAAGCGGCACTTGGAGGCCTTGGAGGGTGGAGGTTTGTTTCACCCCGGCGGGCTCAGAGGAGAGTAATCTCCAAAGGTCTGAGCCCCACGCATAAGCAAGGGGAGCAATTCATACTATTTTGCTTCTGTATATGTGGCATTTTGGCGTACGCAGCAAGCAGGGCTAAAGAGGAGCCCAGAGGAGTGAGAGAGAAGGGGAGGGGGCCGAGAGTTTTCTGCTGACCTTGTCGGCCATGTTAAACATTTTCCTTATTAATACAGTGACAATGAGCCATGGGGATACCTGGGAAAGGGAGTTCCAAGCACAGACAGCGACTGTGCAAAGTGAAGAAGCAGCAAGAACAGAGTAAACATTCAAAAATGCTTACTGATCGCCTACTAAGTATGTGTCCACAGAGTAGTGTGCTGGGTGATGAGCAAGACTAACTTGCTTCAGTTTTTCAAAGAGCTCATAATCTTACAGGAAAACTAAGTTTAAAAAAAATAACTTTATTGCAAAGCAGAACATGATAAGTATTTTTAGATTCCACAAATAGATGAGATCGCACAGTATTTGTCTTTCTCTGACTTAGTTCACTTAGAATAATGTCCTTAAGGTCCACATGCTGTTGCAAATGACAGGGTTTCCTTCTTTTTCATGGCTGAATAATACTGATATATATCAGAAGGAAGTTATGAAATGTTTAAAGAAGGAAGAAACCGTATTTGATAGGAGGGATTAAGGAAAGCTTCATTGTGGAGTTGCTTATGAGCTGCACCTTAGGGGTCCTCACAGGGTGAGGAGGGTTTGAACAGCTAAAGGGGACAGGACAAGTATGCCAGGTGGAGGGCACAGTGTGAACAAGGACATCAAGGCAGGAAAGCATGGGATTTACCCACCTAGTGTGCTGCATCTGCAGGAGCAGTGGTCCACAACTCTGGCTGCATATTAGCATCATATGGACTCCAAAAAACAAAACCTAACAGCCCAAGGGAATACTTCAGACCAATGAATCCAAATCTCTGCAGATGAGACTGGGCAATCATGTCTTTAAAAAGATCCCCAGGATTCTGATATGCAGGATATACCCAAAGGAAATCTCTACCGCAAAGAGACATCAGCACTTCATGCTCACTGCAACATTATTCACAATAGCCAAGACGTGGAAGCAATCTAAGCATCCATCGGTGGGGAAATGAATCAAGAAAATGTGATATAAATAAATAAATATATATATATATAATTTGCATATAAAAATATATATATATATTTGCAACAACATGCAGACCTTAACGACATTATGCTAAGTGAAGTAAGTCAGAGAAAGACAACTACTGTATGATCCCACTCATTTGTGGAATCTAAAACATCAAGCTCATAGAAATGGAGATCAGGGTGGTGGTCACCAGGGGCTGGGAGGTAGAGAAATGGGGAAACTGTTGGTCAAAATTTTCAAACTTTCAGTTATGAGTAAGTTCCAGGGATCTAATGCAGTTTGGTGATTGTAGGTAAC